TACACAAAATACGATAAAATGGACCGGTCGACACTAAAACGAGCCTAAAACTAATAAAATAAAACACACAAAACACACCAAAATAACGACAAAACAACAATAAACAATAAGACACAAAGCACACCAAACTCTATATGAAAGACCTGCTATTAAGCTGAAGGCTCCTGTGCGTATAGACAACTGCTAATCTAACAGCTAAACAAACACAAAAACACTTTGCAAACACACCGCGCCTTTGTTTGATTTTTTTTTTGTTGTGCATTATTAACATAATTATGAATATTTAACAAAATCAAACTTATAATCATAAAATATACTCAATCAAAATAAAAACAAATGTACGAATGTATTCAATAAAAAATTGAACTTGATAAAATAAGTAGCGACGATATTATAAATTTGAAGATAAAAAAATAGACGATTTAAACTTGGCCACTTATGATGGCCATAACCAACTGCTCTCTTCCTTCTTCAGTCATGCTAAAAAATACGTCGGTTAACTCGGGTGATTGAGCGATACGACACACAACTTTAATAACATCCACCACAGCTAGATTGGGAATCTTCCTTATCTCTGAATCAATCCTTTGTCTCTTTTCTGAAATTTCAGCATCAACTCCAATAGCTTTACCAAAAATTTCACTAGCTTTAGCAATTTCACTTCCAATAATCGATGCTTCTTTTATGTCTGTCATAGCCGTTAATTTATCAACACTTCTTTTTCTTTTCTTCCTCTTGTCAACTGCAGCAGATCTTGGGGACTGTAATGGAGAAAATGAAGCATCTAAATCATCAAGACCAATTTCGGATGTTGCTTCCACGTCATTATCAGCATTAAGATTGACATCTTCCCTTTGTATATCTTCCATAATATCATTAGGTCCTTCAGCATTTCCTCCAGTAGCACGATCTTTTCCAAAAATAATGAGCAAGTCATCATATAAGGGGAAAGCCTTATTTTGCCAGATTGCATGGGTAGGATGACTCGTGTCACAAGAAAAAACAATAACTAATTGAGAAAATTAACAAAATATGTAATTAATCACATTGTCATTTTTTTTTCTCTCATTTCACAACCAACAACTCTATTGACAAAAAACCATCATGACCACAATTCATACAAGATGATATCCACCTCAGTAGTAAACCATAATTTTTCGTCCAACTAACAGAGGGCTCAATTAAATAAGTTATCAATCATTAACTAATCCAATCATCTAAGCTAGTTATTTATTTTAAATCTTTGATTTGATGGTGGCAGGCGAACTAACTGAAAAGAGCAGAGACTAGCTAGACATATACAATTTGTACTGCTTTAATTAGTTTAATACTGATAAACTATAGACATATCTCATAATATTATTCTGATTATAATGTGTTTGATTACTATATCTCCCAGGCTACATTCTATTCAAGTTGACAAAAAAAGAAAAAAAAATATGATGACATCTTACCAGCAAAACTAAAAACAATCTAGTGAAAATCAAAGAGATTTTCTAAAATATTCAAAATAAATTACAATACTATATAAGAAACCTATGGAACCAAACGCAACAAAAAAATCTATAAAAAAGTAATTATGTAAATACCTCAATGTAGGGGCCCCATACGGACTTTTCGGCTACGATGCATTTTTTTATCGGATCCATACCAAATCCACTTGTATTTGGACCATTTAACATATCATACACAATATTGAAGTCTATCTTCAATGTCTTAATTCTTGACTCAATATGTGGTTTAGCATTGAATCCAGAGTTAGGCAACGAGACTCGCAACTTGTCCTCAACACAGTGGCGGAGCCACCAGTATGGCGAGGGATGGCGGCCGCCATACCTGGCCGCCGGCGAACACCCCCCACCCCCCCAGTTTTTGATGTTCGCGGTTCTTGCCAGTTCGCTTTTACGGTTTATCTGTTCGCCATGGCGGTCGTCGTCCGTCGATGCTGGAGGAGGAAGACAAAGAGAGACAGGTAACGTTTTACGTGGGGTTGGGCTGGGCTCCAGTCTGGGATATGTTGTCCTCTTGGGCTTGGGCCTTTTCCACTTTGTGCCTTGTGAAGCCCAATCGGCAAAACATCATATGCAAGGCAGGCAGGCAGCCGAACAGACGAGATCTCGTGTCGCGATCGATCTGAATTCTCTCGACTCCCTTTCTCAGTTTCTCTTGAACCGCTCTCGCAGTCGCCGACGCCGATGCCCGCCGGCAGTACTGCTCCATCCGCTCGCTGCTCGCCGACATCAATAATCCAAATCTCTTCAATTTCCACAATTTTTTGCTTTGTTAAGCCATGAGCTCCACCAGGGATGGCAACCGTAGCAGCGGCGACGACGGAGAAAGGAACCGCGGCGGCGGAGATAGTGGCGGAAGGCACCACGGAGTCGGCGACCGGCGGGAGGTAGCATGGCTCGATCAGAAAAGGTAAAAGAAGCCTAAAATTCTGCCTAATAATTTAAAGGAAACAAGAT